AGCAAACATATCTTTGATTTGAGCTATTGTTGCCATATTTCTTGGGAAAAAAAAGTAGTCCTAAATCAGAAACATCTGAAGCACTTCTGTCCCTAAATGCAGCAGAGTTCAGAAGAATATTCTGTCAGATTAGTTAGAAAAGAAGTCATTGTCCAAAATCAGTCTAATAGTCTCACTGGATTTTATGTTCAGTTCAGTAAAAATCACAACGTGTGTTGTATAAAAAGTCAATTCAATCATAAAGACAGATTCAATGTCACAAACATACATTCTAAGTGATCCTAGTTATTGAATTATCCAGTCAAGTTCATTTTATTATTTAAATAGTTTGAAAAAAGCTTGTCTAAACAGAACATTTTTCTCTTGAACAGTAAACGGAAATACATATTTAAGTCTCCTGTAACTACCTGTATCAGATGTTCCACTAAGCTTTAACAACAAGGCAATCCAAAGTGCCTTACATCATAAAAACATAAAATGGTAAAACAAAAAGCATTGTATTGCAGTGACAAAATAGAGACCAGAAAATGTTCCATTTATTAGCCAAAGAGAAACGGAAAGACATAATGTCTGTAATAATGTCAAAAATGAAATTTGTTGGTACAAATTGATCAAATCCTTGACATTTTAAACTTATAATTTCAGTAGTTTGAGCCTCAAAATTGCTTGTTAAATTTTGAAGACGTTTAAGTGAGTCAGGCCACCAAAGGCTGCTCATACAAACCACATGCTGAAGCTGTATGTGCACAGCGGAAGAACAACTGGTCACAGGCTTTACTATGTCTAGTAAAGTACGGTTCATAAACTGCTGCTGTTAGCCATGTTCCTGTAAACCCCAGTTTTGCTCTCGATATAGAAAAGACGGCACCTTTACACAAAGACACACCTACGGTCAGTCATCAATTCACTCTGATGTCTCTCTCTGTCATTCTTTTTGTAAGGTCATATACGTATCCTTGTAAGCAATGAATTTATGTTGGGAAGGAAAATACACACACACATTACCTGACATCAGACAACTGATGTCGGACTCTGACCTAAAAGGCCAATAACTCATTTTAATTGTCAGTAGTAAATATTTCTGGAGTTATAAGAGGTGATGGAAAGAGCAAATAGCCCTCTTTCAGCTGCCAGTTGTATTTATAGGAGTTATTAATGTAGGCTTTAACTATTTTTTTTTTCTATCTCGTTTCCGTCGATTAATTGCTGTAATTCCAATCTTCTTAATCAGTTTTGTTAATATACATCACATACAAATAGATTTCTTCCATATGTGCCAATAGTTCAGAAATTACTTTTCTATAGCTTTTGAAACAAATGCAAACTTTCTGGCTGCCTACTGCTTTGGGTACTTTAGGTCATTTTTAGCTTGTTAACCAATCTTGGGGAAATGAGTTCCCCAATTTTGATTTAGAAATAGAAACATCTTATAAGCTCCCTGGTTTTTGGTTCCTTGTATCACCAGAATAATTTATGTTAATAAAAAGACAGTGTCTAAAAACCCTGAAAGAATATTGTGCAGTGCACACAGATTGGTCTTCTGAAGTGTCATTCATGCTAAAAAGTGTAAAGGGAAAAGAGAAGAATAAGGGCACATGATGTTTGTCATGAGTTATGATTTAAGCAACATGAAGTGAAGGGAAATAGCCCTAGTTTCTGTTTTTCAGATGTATCTCTTTTGAAGAGTCATGCAAGCGAGGGAAACGAGAAGCTGGACACCAACAGATCATGACATTTATGGCCAGAAATAAAACAATGTCTTGACTTTATTCAATGTAGTCCATGTCTTTTTACATTTTTCAATCTCGCCTTTTGTCATCTGGACACTTAACCCCAACCTTTGTCTCCTGGGGTTATTTTTTTTTAGTATTTATTAAATGTAAGGTTATCTGTCAGAAGAAGTCATATTCCTCCCATCATTTGTCTTCCAGCAAATTTTTTTATTGCAAAAAAAAAAAAATAAATAAATGGAAAAAAGCCAGATTGTAGTTTGCAAGTACATTCATTACCAAATGTCCTCATATTTGGATTTGTCTCGTTTTTTTTCCCCTGTGAAACTAAGATGCAACTGTTTGGGCATATTGACCATCGTTACATTTGGTGGTAAAAGAGGCGTGCTTATAAGTCTGATATCCTGATCCCAACTATGAAATGTGGGGATGGCAGCATCTTGTTTTTTTTTTTTTAAAGGTTTTGTTGGCTCTAGTGGCCTTTATCTGAAAGTAGATTGACAGGAAAGAGGGTTATGAGAGAACATGTGGCAAATGTCACCAGGCCGGGAATCGAACCTGCGACCACTGGGATGAGGACTAAAGCCTCAATACATGGGTTGTGCTTTGCCCCTGCGCCACCACAGCACCCGGCAGCATCTTGTTTTGGCTCTGTTTTGTTGTCAGACGAACTGGTACACTTGGTAAAATAGATGGCAGCACGAGGAAAGAATGTTATGTGGAAATATTGAATAAATGGAGCTAAATGTTCAACTTTAAGTAGATAAAAATCTTCTATTACATATTTTCAAAAAACAATCGAAAAGTTGCAACAAGTACAATACATTAAAACAAAACGACAGCATTGCAATAGACCAATATTACTTGATTCGAACACCACCATCCCTTATCCAAAATGCACAATTCCACACAAACACACACACACACACGGATACATTTGATGAAGGAGTGGCCTGGAGCCGTCATGGGAGAATGAGCTGTCTGTTTGAGAGGAGCCAGGGGAGCAGAGGGAAGGATGGAACAGCGAAGAGAGAGAAAGCAAAGTGACAGTAGGGGCCAAGCAAAAGAGACAAGAGAAAACAAACAATAGTCAGGGAGAAAAATGCAGATTGCATTTGTTTTTTCTCTTTGTTGCAAAACAAATTCATAATGATTTATTAAACAAACCATTGGGACTTTAAAAATATATAATTTTAAGGATATTTCTATATAAGTATTCTTTGTTGTATAGTATAGGATGTCTTAAAATATAGTTTTTGTCTCCAGTATGCTGTGAAATGAAGCAGCTCAGCTTAATCCAAATGACTTGAAAACAGCCTTAAGAGAAATCAACAACAGACATGAGCCACACTTCTCTTGCCAAAACAATTACACTGTAAATTCTTTTTAGGAATGTTTCTTTGTAGCCATTGTCAGAGTCATTATACTCTAAAGTTAACTGAGGATAAGCTGTGTCTGGTTTCAGAGCAAAGAGAAAGCTGCCAAGAACAGCTCGCTGATAAAACTATTAAAGTTTAAAAGTAAGGGTGAGGCAGAGGTAAAAAGTCCATCCCATGTATGAAGACCTTGGTCCTTGAAGTGGCCGTCGCATGTTTGAGTCCCAGCCTGAAGACGTTTCCCGCATGTCTTCCCTCTCTCTTATAACCCACTTTCACGTCAGACAACTGCTAAATAAGAGCCACCTGAGCTGACGAAGCATTTTTAAAAAGTTGAAAGGTAATTCGGAAAAGACACAAAATATAAGAAATGGCTAATTTTTTTTAAAATACTTTATGTATTTTACATTTAGGTGAAGGTATATATATATATATATATATATATATATATATATATATATATATAATTTTTTTTTTCTTTTACAGGTGTTTATGTTCCAGTGCACCTCTTATTACTCCACAAAGCTGTAGTCTTCCAAATTAAAACTGCTGGCACCAAATCCTTTGGCGCCTACTGAGTAACCTCTAAAAAGTATCGTCCGCCTTTGGATTAATGAGCTGGGATGGAGCAGATCAGGAGGTGGGCATTAGGGAACTTTCCGAAATGGGTTTAAGGACTTGCTTCGGTTTCACAGTGACAGGGTTAATAACTTTCGATATGAAGTTTCCCTTCAAAAGTCAGAAACAACTCAAAGGAAAGTACCAAGCTGGAAGCCACACTCTCTCTTTAATTATAATTTAGAGTTACAAATCTAGGCCAGTTGGCCACTTGTTTTAGTTTGGCTATTTTCTTCAGAAGAGCTCAAGTTTCAACTGAGGGTCTTAGGTTTATCTGGAGAGGCATTGATAATCGAGGGCCATTTATTCTTAATACATACGAGGAGCCTAAGAGACGATGCTGGAATTGGTGAGATCAAGCTGCATCATTCCATCTCCACTTGTTGGATGAGTTGCTTCTTGAAAGGACAATGGCTGGATAGCAACTGTCTTTCCCAAAGGACATGAGGCATACTGGCAGAGGCAGAGGGGAACAGCTACTCTAGCAGTCAGGCAGAAGAAAACTTAAAAAAAAGCCTAAATCCGCAGTATGCTTTCATATAGTACATTAGCAGTCGCACCAATGGCAAATTTACCTGCCCTAAAACCCAGAGAAACAAACGACCTGTTTCCTATAGTTACTCGTGTTCAATCTGAGACATGGAACATACACTTTTTGGTCTTGACCGAAAGCTGAGAAGAAATAACACGGTGCAGTCATCTTTCCCATTGAGCTGTTGACTTAGAAAAACAGTATATCATTGCAGATTCCAGAAGTTGACTCTAAAGGGGTAAATCTAATTTTTAAGCATTAACAAGATTCAATGTATTAACATTAAAAACACGCTCCCTTGGGACAAAATTGGTGATGGAGGTAGGCTGAGGTTAGGACAGATTCAGGACAAATGAAGGAAGGAATAAAGCGATGACTGGACTCAGTGGGTCCCTTTACTTTATTACATGATTATTACTGAACTCTAGCAGTACTCTTGACCAGAGTTTCTTGTGGTTTGGGTAATCAGATTTCTGGGCTTAAACCAGTCTAAAAATGACTTTAACATGGAAACATCTAATGGGGTTGTCCTATTTGTTGCAAGACTTGTAATCAGAAACTCTGTTTTCTTTAAAACAATGTCGAAAGAAACTTGGCAGTGCCCACATAAGCAGTCGTGTGGTGAAAAATATCCAAACGAATGCAAATGGGCAAACGTCTGTTCCACGCTTCTGCTGCCCATGTTTTTCCTCTGCCTGAGACAGTAAACCACATGTGCTACTTTGTATCCCCTCTGTTGGATAGGTGAAGACCAGAAACTTGAACTGAAGAGAGCTTTGTGCGAGAAAAGGCCAGCAGTTGCCTGAAAGCCCAGAAAACGCTCAGGTTTTGACAGATGAATTGAGCCTGAAGAGAGCGCACAGCAGTGGAGAAAGTCAGAGGTGAGTAAAGCCTCGACAGTCTGATTTCTGAATCGACACTTTTGCATTTGATCAGCCGAAGAAGCACAGTTGCTCACTCATCAAAAGCCATCTAGCATTCCTGTCTTTCCACCAACCTTTTTGATATATTTTGAAAGACAAATAGTTTGTTTTTCTTGCATGTGGTTTGTTTTTGAATTATTTCAAGTCACTAAGTAAATATAAGTAAAACAGAATTCAGATTTTCATTAACTCTGGCTGAGATCAGTGCTCTCCTGTACCTCTGCTGCTGACGTTCCAGGCTTTTACAGCTCTTCTTACACGACTAAAGTGTGTAACAGTGTGGAGTGTGCATCTCTTGAAGTTAAAAGTGGTTCAACTTCAGGATATTCAGCTACTCTGTGACAAATTTCACTGCCATATATGTTGAAACCACCAGTTATCCTTGATCTAATTTGATGTCTTACCTCTTGGAGAGTACTAAGCGGTGCCTTTGTCAAAGCCATGACATTCAGCCATGAAAGTGGACATCAATTTTAAGGATTAGAGAGAGTTCAAGCTGCCAGGCATGCCTCTTTGTTCTGACACCAAGTCAGATCACGAGATCAAAGAGGCAAATATGTATGTATTTCTGTATTTGCACACATCTATTTGTTTGGTGATGGTGGATGTGTTGCAAAGAATTCATTTTTTGTGTTTTGTGCTGAGATCAAAAATTCAAATGCAGTCATTTGCCAATACTAATGTGTATCTTTATATTCAAAGATGAGGGCCTCAATTCGCTCTTGTTACACATAGGCCTGTCGCGATAACAAATTTTGCTGAGCTATTGTCTAAAAAATTATTGC